AGAATCGCCTTGAAGAGACAGTAAAATTTACAGGAAGAAAATTCAGTGAAGCTTATATTAAGTTCACACACTTTATTTCGACTTTCATTTCTTTTTTTTTCGTTTATTATTAGTGAAAATTTGGTTACGGCAATCGATGTATTTTTTTAAAATATTTAATTATTTGCCCTTAAAAGAATCACATGGTTTGTCGAGATGAAACGAACGCTTTTCATTTTGAAGAATCGAAGAAAAAAAATTAATCAATCAATTAATATCCTATAAATATTATTATTATCACGATTTTCAAAACTTTTTTGGTGGGGATTTTACCCCGGTCGAAATTGGCCCAGTTATGTTAATGCAGGCCGGATGATATATTAATGTAGGCCAGATAATATGCTAAAGCAGGCCAGATAATCTTATATTAAAAATCCCGCGCGGGGTTTTTTAAATCCCGCGCATCACGCGCGGATCCCGCGCAGTGCCCATCACTACTTTGGAGTCATACGTTTAACTATCTCCATTGTTTCTTGACTTTCTCCCATCACGGGATCAACCCAAGCAGACAATAAATGTTTAAGGCTATTTGTGAGATCATTAACCTTGGTCGATGATGAGGTTCTAGAAACTGGTGTAGACTGCCCTAAGCAATTGTAAATGTCCGATGATAATCCAAACAATCCAAGCGAAATCTGAAAATACTCTCGGAACTCTTTGATTTCAGCACTTGAAGCATCCGAATCTTCCTTCTTTCCATGTCTAATCTTCTTGATAAATTCCTTTCCTGTTCTTTCAGCATCCGTTTCATAATCTTCTAGTACTTTTGCAATTTTACGTTTGCACGAATCCATATTACGTGTTGTAGTAGACTTTGACGGAACGTCAGCTAGCTCTGATTTTGCACCTAATTGCAAATACAACGACAAAAATGGCATATACGGTAGATCCTCAATGCCTATATAAGCTGGCGACAGACAAGTAGTTGCAGATTTTAAATATTCATAACCTCTATTATTAGTAGAGTGATTTTTAACTTGTATTAGTATGTATGAAATACGATCTTCGTTTAACTCTTCATCAAGAATGCCCAAATATAGAGGTATTATAATATCTGCTCCCCGCTGATTTCGTTTGCATGAATATGCAATACCGCAAATCAGAGCATCCCTAAGATCTTTTCTATCTGGGATATATGTAATGTTAATAAAGTGTGTGAACTTAATATAAGCTTCACTGAATTTTCTTCCTGTAAATTTTACTGTCTCTTCAAGGCGATTCT